AAAGCTATTTAAGATCGCCGTAAAGCCTATAAAAAGTTTCAAAAATACATGAATTCTGAAAAGTTAATAGACTATAAGAGACAACGTGCTATATGTAGAAAAATAATCAATCAATGTAAGACCAAATCATAGAAAAAATTTGTGAACTCCATAAATTCCTCTGCAACATCAACTGATGTATGTACCAAAATCTATAAAATCACTAAAAATCCTGCTGCCTCTTGTTACACTATTTTAATCAAGGGACAACTATTTGACAAACCATTAATATTTTCAAACGCATTTTCCAATTTTTCTGGGAAATTTATAACTCTAAAAGAAATAGTCTTAATCCCGAAGAAATAGATCTTGACAGGACAACGAACTTATGGATCCACCCAATACAATAAATTAAAATTATTTTGAACAAAAATATTTGGGATAATTAAAAATCTGTAGTATAAAGTGCTACCTCCGGTTAGTCAATTTAAGCGAAAAAGATACTGTAACTTCCAATACCTGCTTTAAATACCTACATAATTTCAGCGACTTTTCTTTTTTTGAACTTGGCTGTTCACACATACAACCACACACATGCCATTTTGTGGGACTTGGTTATTTGGACTCAGTGGACCTCAAACATGTATTTGTGTTAAAAACTCAGATTTGAAAATTTTCATGTTCTTTATATTTTCCCTTACGAAAGATTGTGTACTTTGGTAAGTAAAAGTAAAATAGATTTTACTAACTGGAATTTGTACCTGAAGGATTTTAGAAAGTAGTTTTACTGATATCTTTTATTGTATATAGATTATATTATTCACATTAACATTTTAAAACTATGAAGAAAACTACTCATCCCTAATGTTTTCTTACATGATTTCTGTTGTTTATACTGGGTTACCGTAAGTAGAGGGAAATATTTAAAGGGGTGATGCTACACCTTAAGAGCAACAAAAACATTCATATAAACAATGGACCAATTTACTGCAGAAAAGCAGAAAATCCATGTTTTGTGTTGTTTTTTTTATGATTCTTGTTGAATAGGAAGAGATAACTAAAGAAATATTTTATTTAATTAATTAAAAATTGTTTCACTGTAACAACTAGACAAAATTTATTTTTAGCAAAAGTAGAGTTTGTTATTGTTAAAACTAATTAAAGATCATTTTTGAGCAACATACTAGGCTAAGTTCTGTTTTAAAAAAACATAAATTATCCGTGATTCTTTTTATCAGCATCTAACTATATTACAGATACCCCACTTTTAGAACAACTTCCTTTCCTAATAATAGATAGCTAGTTGGTGAACGTTTGTCATTTCAGTTTTTCAAAATTGGAATTACTACCAAATCATGCCAGTTATTCGGAAAATGTCCAGTAGACCAGACATGATTATAATACCCAAGTAACCATTCCAGTGCATTACGATCACATAATTTTTTTACACAACTTGAGGTGAATCTCAACATTTTCCTATTAAATCTCAATTCAATTAATATGAACTTAAAAAGCTTATCAAACAGGGAAGTTTTTCTAAAAGTGGAGTATCTGTAATGTAGTTGGACGATGATAAAAAGAATCATTTATAAAGAATAATTTGTTTTTTTTTTAACAGAACTTAGCCTAGTTTAGCTGCTCAAAAATGATGTTTAAATGGTTTTAACAATGACAAACCCTACTTTTGCTTAAAATAAATTTTGTCTAGTTTTTACAGTGAAACAATTTTTAATTAATTAAATAAAATATTTCTTTAGTTATCTCTTCCTATTCAACAAAAATCATAAAAAAAACAACACAAAACATGGATTTTCTGCTTTTCTGCAGTAAATTGGTCCATTGTTTATATGAATGTTTTTGTTGCTCTTAAGGTGTAGCATCACCCCTTTAAATATTTCCCTCTACTTACGGTGACCCAGTATAAACAACAGAAATCATGCAAGAAAACATTAGGGATGACTAGTTTTCTTCGTAGTTTTAAAATGTTAATATGAATAACATAATCTATATACAATAAAATATATCAGTAAAACTACTTTCTAAAATCCTTCAGGTACAAATTCCAGTTAGTAAAATCTATTTTACTTTTACTTACCAAAGTACACAATCTTTCGTAAGGGAAAATATTAAGAACATGAAAATTTTCAAATCTGAGTTTTTAACACAAATACATGTTTGAGGTCCACTGAGTCCAAATAGCCAAGTCCCACAAAATGGCATGTGTGTGAACAGCCAAGTTCAAAAAAAGAAAAGTCGCTGAAATTAGGTAGGTATTTAAAGCAGGTATTGGATGTTACATTATCTTTTTCACTTAAATTGACTAACCAGAGGTGCCACTTTATACTATAGATTTTTAATTATCCCAAACATTTTTGTTCAAAATAATGTTTATTTATTGTATTGGGTGGATCCCATAAGTTCGTTCGGTTTTTGTTCATAGTGCGAATTGTTTTCAAATATCTCTAGCTCTCTTTTGCTTGTCTGATAATAATGATATTTATTGGGAAGGTCAAAGTCCGTTCATCAAAACTGTTGTGTTTGGTTTCATTGACATTAGTTTTGTTTGTGCTACAGCCTAGTGAATATATCAAATGATGAAGTGCATTTTTGGCATAGATTGCTTTTTTTTTTATTTATTTCAAAAAAGGCAAGTGAGTTTCAAAGGCCCACCGAAAGATATGTAAGGTATAAGGGTCCTCTAGGTATAAGGGGAGTGGTAATTTTTTTCCAATCCTACTTATATAGTTTTCTTTAATTCTTCTTTATAAGAATTTTTTCACATATTATTATAATTTTATTTAATGTATTCTTTGCATTTTAAACTAATATTTTTATTTTTATGAGAGCTCTGTATTTACTAACCTGTTTAATTTAATGGTATTTTTTTATCAAAGTATTATCGTAATATCAAAAAATTGGACAATTCAAGATCTGAAAGAGAAAAATCTTAATGTAATTATTGTCAATCCTTTTTCTATTTAGCAAAAAATTAAGATGTGTCCCTCTTCCCCGAGAAACAAAAATCAAAGGTGATAACTGTGATGGTAATCACACAGCCACTCGCCGAGGCTGTTACATAAATGGAGAGCAAATGAAATGGTGAGGAGTGCAAATCATCACTGCTTAGAAAAAAACTGAAAGTAAACCACAATTTGTGAATCTGCGAATCCACAGAAGCTGAGCTCCCCCCACTCCACAACTCACCAGCCCCAACTTCATCTTCCTGGATGAATTCTATCCCTCAAAAAGTAACCAATATTGAAGATAAGAATTCTTTATCTAATATATATCAGGATTTTTTAAATTTATTTTCAAATATTAATTTCAATCGATTCATTGAAAATTTCATTGGAAAAATTAAAACTTAAAATTAAATTGTTCAGGACATTGCTCTTATTAAGTCTTTTCCACTTGATATTTCTGCTCATTTAGTCTGTCAATTACCTTCTGATCACAACCCTGTGATTTTTTATACAAATGGTGTAGTTTAAACTAAACCTAAAATCTCAGCAATTTGATTTCAAACATGCTGACTCGAAAAAATGCAGAAATATTTTAGATGTTAATATATTAATTAATCCTACCGTATCTCCCATTGAAGATATTGATAAATTGGTAGCTGATTTTCAAAATCATGTAACCGACATGATAAGTCTATCCCTATGTTTGACATCTCAGCCGGTCAAAACTTCAAATTACCACCAGTTATTACTTGTTTGATTGCATTAAAAAACACGGTTAAGTGATTTTTCAAAAGCATAGAGTAATGGATGAAAAAATCATTCAATAAACGTGTTAAAATTGCTTCATTAGTACTCAAATTTTATAAAAGTTCAGTGTGGAAAAAAAAACTTTCTGTATCAAAATCAGAAGATAGGTTGCTTTATAAATTATTCTGAAATGTGAAGGAAAGGAAAATACCAGTCACCGCTCTTTTAAAAGACGAAACTTTAACTCCAAACAGAGCTCCATTTACCACGTGTGCATATTCTGATAGAGACAAAGCTAAATTATTAGCAGATAGTTTTGGAAAAGTCTTTGAATTAGATTCAGAAAAAGGTATTCCCTCTTTCACTCATCAAATCTTAAAGATTTACAAATCATTTTTTAAAATGAGGCCTTGTAAACATACTGATGCCCAACCTACATCTCCCAAAGAAATTAGTAAAGCAGTGATAAATAGGAAGTCACTTTTACTGAGAAATAAGAGGCTCATCTATTATTTATTTATTAGATCAATCCTATTGTAGGCTTTTCCAATATAGTCGAATACTTGTGTAACTAACTACAAAAAGTTACAAATTGTACAAAGTAAGGGCGAGATTTATTGGATCTTTGTCCAGAATTACCCCAATAATGCACATGTATGAAGTTTTAGGTATTTAGAAAATTCAAGACTATGCTTAAAGCTCACAACAGATTTCTTTGAAATAAAAAATTAATAAATTATTTCATTTATGATTTGTATTACAAAAAATATAAGCATACAAGATTAAAGCATGCCTTATTGTAATTTTATAAATAGTGACATAAATCTGTTTTATTTTATCTTATGTTTTGATAGTGGGTTTTTCTTCTTTCTCCCTCCTCCCCTCCAAGTATAATATTCTTTGTTTACTTAAATTGGGTAAAAGTTAAATTTTAAGTTATAAAAGCAAATGCTTGAATTACAAATTATATTTAAATTGTATATTTGTAAATAAAAGGAAATAAAAAAATTATTAATAATAATAAAAATGAAATATATATGTCTGTATATTTATATTACTTCCTCTGGAAAAGAAACAGTTTGGTTTAAGTAAGAGATTGTATCTAAGCAGAAAGATTTTTAAACATAATTAACCAAATTTATGTTTGTCACATTGCATATAAAAGCAGGTGTAAATCAAATTATATAAGAAACAGATGAAAACAATCTCATTATTACAAAAAATCAAGAATTAATATAAGTATAGTAATACTGCCTAAATGCCAGTTGATAAAAGGGAGACCAAGTGACAGTCTAGGAGCCAATGACATATTTATTCAGTAAATGAACCTAAAGCTATTGATGCTCTTAATAGATAATCTTTATCGGAGAGAACTAGGATCAAAAAGTCTTGCTGCGCAAACCAGGTGCATTTCAGGTGAACTTTGGACTCTAAATAATCATTAAATTTGTTATAATACAACTCATCACAATCTTAAATTCAGCTTTCATGCCTGGCCACCACTACTTTTTTAAAAAATAACTTCTCATTAATCAGCATCCTCTGTTTCCTATATTAACCCTTTTAACAAATATAATGGTGTGGAGATGGTTGAGCGTAGATTCTAATTTCAGAAGAAGTTAGTAGGGTGCGGTCAATATATAAAATACTATATTACATCACAAGTAACAATTCTGGAAAGAAAAGGGTTGTTTTTGTTTCGGCAAAGAAGTGTAGCACAAACTTCATAACACTGGTTTTTTTGGCAGTTGTTTAATGTGTGTGGAATCCAAGTTTTTTTACCTTTCCAAAGCTTTTGCCTTGAGGTGGTCACCAACGGTCGATTTGCAAGATTATGTTTCCCTGCAACTTCTCGAACAGTTGTTCTGGGATTTTCTTTCACCAAAGCCCAGAGAACATCGCCATCAAGAGAAGAAGTCCTTACACAACCTTCTTTGTCTTCAAGGCTGAAGTCAACATTGAACAGTGCACCAACATTGAATGGTGTTCTCATCCCAAAATTGATTGATGTTTCTGGTCATCTGTACCCCATTCCAACCGAGTTTAAACTAGTAAAACAAAATTATACGAAAATCACGTGGTGACATCTTAATAGACTGAATTATTTCTAAGCAGCAAAAATCTACAGAGGTAAACAAACATTATCGTTTAGAAGAGGATTAATAAATGTTGACATTCATACAAATGAATAATCTATTAAACGTAAACAGTTTGTTATATAGAGAGGTATTTTCAAGAAAATTCAAAATCCTGCATTATTTTCGGGAAACCCGATAGTATTTTATATACTAACTGCACTCCCCGATTAACTTCTGAAATGTTTACAAATATCTTCAGAAATCAAGGGAATCAAACCTGTACAATTAGATAATGGTCAATTATGTGCATGTAGTGATGCTGCTATCTACACCTGAGAGGGCAAGAATAATTTATACTATTATAAAGTTCTACAAGAAGAAGAAGTATGTTATCTACAAGAACAATCTGACAAAAAAGTTCTTGCTGAAAAACATTAAAAGAAATTAATAAATTATATATAAGACAATATAAAAACATTACATGTCATTACCCCTGTATTAATGATACATTAAAGAATTAGAGAAGATTGCATTATTTAGAAAAAGATAAATGAATGAAAAACAATTCATAGAAATGGAACACTTCATTTTTTTATCTACAGAATGAGTACTGTAAACAAGCTAATACATCTTATAAATTGAACTTTATTCCAATAAAGGTGGAGAATGTGAAACCCTCAATGCCATAATTTTTATAACTTGAAGAAAGTTTCTAAAAATGTTTATGGTCTATGATTCTGGGCATAAAAGCTATCATTTCATAGTTAATATCATCCAGGGCAGGGGCTGTGCATCTTTTGTCATGTAAAGCACCACCCAGTTCTGTTTTGTTTAATTTACGGACAATGGGAGAAGGAGTTAACTTCATTTTTATTTAGATCGATAATTTTCAGAGTGTGTGGTGGTCTGGGTATGGAATCCTCTCCAATCTTCTCAAGAAAGGTCTCAGCTTTAGTTTTACATGAGGTGATTGGGTTCCTTGATGATGAAGACCTCTTCCCTTGAAAGCATCAAATTTAATTCCACATCGTTTTGTAGTTAGGATCTATTGTGCCGATAAAATTGTTTCTCCAGCTGTCCTTTTTAGCCTGAGCTATGAGTTTTTTCACCTAATTGATGTAGGCTCTCATTATCTTATAATTCTCTACATTCATATTTTTTTATTTATGCAGTCTTCAGTTTATAGGCAGGCATCCTCCAGAACCTCATTCAACCAAGGTTTTGGGGAGAACTTTTTCCAAGGATAATATTTAGTTTATGGTACCGCCATCTTTGCTGCTTGAATTATTAAAATGGTTAAAATCTTTGAGGTTATTCTAGGGGTGTGGTTTCAAATTTTCAAGTTGCATGACTGTTGCAGCCAACATGAAGGTCATTTATTTTTATTTTATTTTATTTGTGATCATATAACAATATGGGGGGTTAATTTTATGTCCATATTATTATATAGTAAACCTTTATTTGTATGTAATTATGCAGCATTATATACATATCCGAGACATCCCACTTCCGGAGACTCTACGAAGAGAGAGGCAAAAAGAAAACATTACAAGGACAGTATGGCTGCTGGTAGCGCTTCAAACAGAATTGCCTCCATTAGGTTCTCCGTCCTAAACGCTTTTTTCAGAAATTGAGAAAATTTTAGCGAAGTGGGAGGGGCTGGGTCTGACAATGGGGGGAATGATGTATACAGAAACGAAACAAATTTGAGGTTCTAAGTTAGTTAATTGCACCACAATTACATCAATAGGATCTGCATTATCTATTAACATTCTTTTATATTCTATAGAATTATGAATGATAATGCCGACACCGCCATAGTTATCATTCCTATGGTTTTTTATTACAGAATAATTTCTTGATTCATATTTCTTTGTTTTATTGAACCACATTTCTTGCAGCAAAGCAGTATATACCTTATTTATATTCATATAATTAATTAGTTCTTGAAATTTATTATTAATGCTTCAGCAGTTGAATTGGATAATTTTTAAATTATTGACGCATTTGATCAGCTTTGTGCAGGTGTTAGAACTATTATAACCTCTTCTCCTTTAGTCTCTCTACAGTATAAATGACATACGCTAATTAAATTGTCAAGAATCTCTTTTTCATCAATATTAGTAGGAATACCTTTGACAATACCATATTTTACAGTGTACTGTTTTGGAATGAAAGCTTTGAGACTATTTCTTTTAATAAAACTGTTGGATATAAATCAATTTGCATGCTCATATGTTCTGAAATTAAAATCAATTTGATTTTTATTATTCCTCCTAATAAAGATTACTTCTAAATTACTTAAACATAGTAGTTCTGCAATTTTCATATCATGAAATGATTCTAATTTATTTTTATCATCTTTTCCAATTATTACAATATAAGGGGTTCGAAAATGTTTAGAAATTTAGGAGTTTTCAAATTGTTTTGAGCTATTTGATTGTTATGATATTTTATTATATAGTAAGAGTTCATTTTTAATTAAATCTGAAGTGGGTAGGTTTTTTTTTTATCTGTGGATTCATTTGGGCCCATGTTTTGGAGCTCATTAAACATAAGATATATATATATATATATATATATATATATATATATATATATATAAATTAACAAAGTGTGGCTATATAATTAGATATAGAAATATAAATGGTTGGAAATAAAATATATTGAAAAGGACTGGACTGATAATCCCTGTGAGATGTAGAGGATTAAGCAATGTGTAATCAACCACTGTATAAAACTCACTGTGAAAGTTCCTTTAGAAGACAAATTAAAAATTGTAAATTAAATAAAACAATCAGCATGGGGTCTATGTATCTAGTTGTATTACGTTAAATCTTTGTTTTATTTTACACTAATAATTCATGAATCTCATTATCTTGGATCAGATGGCAGGAGGATGTGGATTACGATCAAAGGGCGGCTGGGCGTTCAAAGATGAAGGGAAGTAGAACAAGATCAAGGAGATTGGTTGGCTAAAGTGGAAGAGGCCCAGATTCTTGCAGAACCGTAGCACCATTATAATAATAATTCGTGAATGAATGTTATTTTATAATTGAATAATACAATCACACTATATAATTTTTTTAATAAATAGGGTTTTTTAATCAACTCTTTATAATGCTCTGAATCTGAAAGGAAATAAATTCCTGGGAGGCATTTAGTATTGCATTTCTAGTTTCACTATGAATGATATCCAGTATAATACCTGATTTTTCCTGACTATACAAAATCTCCGACATATTCCCATATTTCACAACTGGTAGACACCCTGGTCAGGTAATACTGAGGATCTTAAATGTGTAATTCTGAATCTCATTACACATTAGCACATCATCAACTGAACAATAATACTTGATAAATTCAATTAATCCTGATAGTTAAAAAACTAAACTTATACCTAATATGAATGACTAAAATATATAATGTAGTTCTATCCAGGAAAAATTAGTCTACTGTATCTCCAATAACATGTATCCGCTTTCTGACAAGAACTTTAGAAATAAATAAGAAATAAAGCAGTCAAAGGAATAAATTAAGCAAAATAACATTAAACGAATAACTATAACAGTATAAACAGTTTTTGCAGACAATTATACTATTACCGATGTCAAACTATCATAAATTTATATATAACTAAGTCTTAATTACCTTCATTATTAAAATTTAAATATAAGAAGGGGGCACATAATGAATCTAAACCTTGCCAATAAACATATTCAGGATGCCTCTTAACCCATGCTTTCAAAATTCGTTTGAATTTTGTATGACCAGCACTGGAAGATAACAACTCATTGTACTGATGACATCTTGGAATATCAACTTCAATCTAAAAAGTAAAAAATAATACAATTTTTAAAAAGGTTTATTAAATTATGCCTAGAAATATTTTTAAGAAATATAAAATTGTTTATTTTAGAAAAAAAATTTATTTTCAGCAAATGTACAATAGCCATAAACATATTTTTTTTTCATACTCATGTTGCAAAGTTTGTAAGTGCAAATTTAAAAATATTGTGGAGACCAAAAAACTGTGTTTTTTTTTTCTTCATGAGCTTTCGATTTCTGTTCAATTTTCATTGCATAATTAAGACGAAAGTGCAATTTATTTTAAGTGTATTTTAAGAAACATTTTGATTTTGTATTTCTTATGAGTATGGCCAAGAATACCAGAATAGCTGAAGACCGTTGCTTCCTATAAAATTGTTGTTACAGGTTTTTGTAGCAAAGCTGTTGGTATATTAATTAAAATCTCTTTCTCATGTAGTAAAAAATAAGGATAGAACTTTACATCATTGGAATATTTTATACAATCTCACTAATCAAACATAATATTTAAATGACACTAAATATGACTGTGAGGATTAAGTAAAGGATATTAATGGTGGGAAAAAACACCTAATAGTGCATGACAGAGTTCATAAAAGATTTATAAATGATTTTTTTATGCATACAGGAATGAGAGAGTTCCTCTTCATTCATTAAAAGTTCACTGGGGAATTAAAACCAATAAAAATATTTGTAGTACTCTTCAGTTATCACTCTCTGAATAAGTTGGAAGCCAGAATGGGTACACAAAGAAATCAGAGGTGGATGGGGGAATCATTACTCAGATTAGTGATTATGCTCGCACAAACTCTAACCCAATCACATAGGAAAATAAAAAATTAAAGAATCCTTATCTCAATCCTGAGATAAGGATCCTAAGAGAGGCTGCCTCCATACCCCTTCTGTATAACAAAAGAAATGTAACAGACAAAATATAAGGTGCAAAACCTGTATTTTCAAATAATAGTACACGGAAGAAGTAGTAAAGATTTAAGATGGAGGGGGAGAGAATGAAATGAAATTGAGAGTGATGAAATTGAATTATACTATACCAAAGTTCAAATATATTCTTACTTGATGAACTTATAATTCATTCATTGTTTAGGCAGATTATCTTGGAAAATTTATTCTCTCATACTATTTTGAAATAAATGAATAGCAAGCTATGCCCCAACGAATATTAAAAACATTTTTGATGAAAGAACAATATTATGGCAGTGAGGGGTTTAATTTTTTTTTTTAAATGTTTAATTTAGATTACAACCAATTACCCATAGCAACCTAAATCAAATCGAAAGCAAATACAAGTAAATCCTCTCTATTTCGCAACAATTCAAAGGGGACTTCCAAGCAGTCAAACCGCAGTAAGCCCAGATCTCCACAAAATCAAGGACTCCTTGTAATCCCCTCCACAAACTCTCAACTTGGCCAAAGATACCACACATCCAGAAAAACTTCCCTGCTTGATGATCCCCAAGTCAATATTAATCAAGTTGAGTTTACATTTTCCCTAATTGAATAAAAATATTATTAGTACAGTAAAATTAGTGATGAATCTCAACTTACTCTGAAACAAACCACAATTCAACCAATACAGACTGAAAGTTCATCAAACAAGGAAGCCCTCCTGAAAGTGTGGTACCCTCAGTCCAGTTGGGAGGTTACAAAATAATCACGAAGAATCCTTAACTCCACGAAAAATCGAACCTACCGCAGTTCAACCACTTAAAAGTCTTCCCCAAATGGCTTCAAACAAAAAAGATTTACTAGTATTTAATGCAGATTCAATTCAGTTCACCATGATTTAATTGGCCGCAACCCAAATTTTTTATTAGTTGAAAATTAATGCATTCTGCCACATTGGAGGGCATTAATATTAGGGCTACATTAAACATTCACACAATACGTACATACAAATGATAATTAAAATAGAGATAATAAAGAAAAATAATTGTATAAAATAAAATGAGAAAATTAACATACATATGTACAAAAAAAAAAAGAAATAATAGGTAGAAATTAAAATAAGTAAAACAAATATTCACACCTATATACAAGGGGGGTTTAATTAAATAAAAACCTGAGAAACTTTATTACCTCAAATTACTGGCTATTAATTTCCAGTAATTTGCAGTTTTGAGGTATTTCAATAATCACCAGATGAATTTAACAATAAAATAAAAGTACAAAAGTAAAGAAAGTTAACAATATACAATTTCCACATGATAAATATTGATTTATTTTTTTTAACTTTAACTTTCTTCAGTAAGGAAAAAATTAAATACAATAGACTTTGATATAGGAACATAAATATTGTAGGTTAAAAAAATATGACATGAGTAAAAGAAAAGAAAAAGGGGTGTTCACATACTTGCCTATCTGTAGGCATAGGAGTTTCTTTGTCTATACAAGTATATTGATATAAATAATCATTATCTATTTCCAAGATCTTAGACCAAATGATAGCACGAAGAAATGGAGGAATATCTTGACGGGATTCTCTAAGTATTTTATTATGCTCTGATGGAAGAAACTAAAAAATAAAAAATATAATTATTACATTATTAATTATTATTATTAAATAACAATCATAGAAAAAGATTAAATGTGTTGTCTATCTCCTTAAGGAGAATATTATTATAAAGAAAAAGAACAAAAAACTTTATATTATAAAAATTTTAGTTGATTAAACTAAAAAACAATTACATTATTTATCATTTTTTTAAGGCAGCCAAAATCAAAACTCTATTGATTTATAAATAACATATTGGTAATGGTATTAAGGTTCACATAAGAAATTATTAAGATTCACACAAGGTTTGAAGGACCGACACTTCTAACAGTACCATATTTTGTAAAGACTAAAAATATAGTTAAATAGTCCATGATGAAACGGCACAATTTATCAATGATGACACAAATCTGGATGTAATGAGGCACTGGATTCATATTGGAGGAAGAGTGGTGTCTAAAAAGCTCGAATTGATTAAAGAGAAGCCACCAATAAAGAACCGTGACCTCAAATACAAAGAAAAATTATCACCATGGAAGAGAAGGCTTAGGAATAAAATTGAGGCTCTACGTCGCAACACTAGAATTATAAAAAGTTATTTAAACAATCCAGAAAAATGTTTAATAAAAGTTAAAACCAAGATTGACAAGATTATTGTGCTAAGTATTGCATTGTTGGCAAATGTGATATGGTTAACAAGCTAACCTTACTCCTCGACAATTTAAAGCAAAAATTAGCCATTTATGCTAATTGGAAAAGAAGGTAAACAGAGGCGGAGTGTAGAAGGAAACAAATGCATTGTTTCAGTCAAATGAGAAAGAGTTCTAAAAAACATTACTCTCTAAAAGCTCCACTTCATTCAATAATAAAATTAATGTTGAAGATATAAGAGCCTATTGGGCGGATATATGGGCAAACCCTAAAACTTACAAAGAAGGAGCTTTTTGGCTTGAAAAAGTCAGAACAAAAGTGGAGAGTATACCTGTTATGGAGATTTCTGATTTTACTGAGGAAGATGAAGCTACCACAGTAAAAAGGATGAAACACTGGAAGGCAACAGGACCTGATAAAATCCATAATTATTGGATCAAGAGTTTTAGTTGTGTGCACAGAGAACTAGCTACAGGTTACAATAAAATACAACAATGTCCAGAATCCACCGGATGATTTCTGCCTTGGAATCACCCATATGATTCCGAAAGGAAATCAACAAAATGGACCAAAAGATTATAGGCCAATTACTTGCTTAAACAATACCTATAAAATCTTTACATCAATTATTGGTAAGAAAATGAAAGTTCATATCAACAAAAATAACACAATGGCAGCTGAACAGCTTGGATGTAAAACTGATTCGAAAGGATGTAAAGAGCTCTTTATAATCGACTCCTCCATATATGCGCAGGTTTCTAAGAAAAAAAGAAACCTCAATGATGCATAGATTGATTTCCAAAAAGCATATGATTCTGTACCGTATGACTGGCTGATTGAGATTCTTAAAATTTGTAAGATAAATAACAAAATCATCGATTTGATAAAGAAGCTGATGGACAAATGGAAGGTGTGCATCTCGGTACTGTAGGACACAGCAGGAGGACCACCAATAGCTATCAGAAGAGGCATATTTCAGGGAGATTCATTGTGTCCTTTATCGTTTTGCCTAGCATTGAATTCTTTGAGTGTATATATTCATTAAGCATAAAAAAAAAAGATGGAAAAAATTCGACAAAACATTAAAGTAACAGCTTCCAAAACTCTTAAGCTTTATCAGCCTGCATAACGCAGAGCACACCCATCTGTCATAAGACGCACTTCACCATCCATCTACAGTGTGATCTATATGATCTTGGACCATCTAAAATCCAGACACAACATTACTACAACAGTAACAAATTGTAATCTGCCTGAGCACTATAAATAAGGGCCCTCTGGATTCTTTAAACTTTTATCTAACATCTAAAATCCATTAAACAAATTAATACCTTTTGATGTAAAAATAATTTTTTAATTAACTATACCAACATTTTTTAGTTCTTCAACATTTAGAAACCTCATTACCAGCAAACTGATTCACAATCAGGACAATCCATGACAATTTTTAAATCCCTATGGTTTTGAAAATACTGCAGATAATCTTCAAGGATTCTTTATATTTCACATCAAAATTTGAAAATAGTCTGACAACCATTAAAATTCATATTGAAGAAAGTAATAAGAACGGAAACAAAGGCTTACATGATAATGATGCTTGAGAGACCAAGAGAAGGAGTTTAATGATGAGGAGATGCAGGAAAAATAGGAATAAACAAAGCAGCTTGAAACTCTGTATAGACAGTTGTAGTGTGTTGCAGTCACAATGTCATGTTGTTGTGGCCTTGCAATAATATTAATATTATAATAATAGTGGGTAGATGGTTGACTGAAGTGAATAATTAAAAAGAAGTTGGTTGGGGTGTTCAGTAAAAAAAAAAGTTCAGTCCTTCATCAGGGCTAAGAAAAGACCAAATAACAATAGGAAACTATTAAATTATGAAAGTAATAACAATAATGTCAGGAATATATGAAAAAAATAATAATAAGAGTAATAGAGAGGAAGGAACTTATGAAATAAATAATAACGACAAAAAATATGGGGACTATTGGCTAATGGCCTATACCTAAAGCCTTGCAATAATAAATAATAAATAAAAAAAAGAAAAAGATAGGGATAATGAAATAAACATAATGAAATTAAGTAACAAAAGGAATAAAAAAAAATTAACAAAGAAATGTAATGGAATATTATGAGTTAAAAACGTAAGTATTAATGCTAAAATATGCTGTCTTAGAATGCTAAAAAGAAGTGAGATTGGCATAAAATAAAATCTAAAACAGAGAGAACGAATAGGTAATTATATAAAGAAAATAATAGATGTAAATTGAAATATTAAGATACTGTAAATTTTATCTAAACATACTGACTACACAGAGGAGAAATAAAAAGTTAAAATTATGAAAATAAGACATAATGAGTAAATGTACCAATATACACAAAACAGAGGCAGGGATATTGAAAAGAAAGTAACGAGAAAAAGGCAAATCAGGAGAATACAGAGATAAAAGAAGAAGACCAACCTGATCTCATGAAAGGTTCCTGTAAGATAAGATTATTTGGACAAGAAACAGTGGAACTTATGTAGCGCCCTCTGTAACGGACAATAGAAATACGTGAACTAAACCACAGAAAAATATATAATGGTTGAGAGGTTTATTGTAGATAAATTATATTCTTGCCTTCACTACTTCTTGAAGACGCCTCGGCATACTTTCCACCAGTCGGGAAATGTCCCTTTGCTGTAGGATAGCCCATTCCTCCCGAAGAGCCCTTTCAAGGTCCTGCAGTGTATCAGGAAGTGTTGCAAGCGCTCTTATTCGTTTTCCGAGGTTATCCCATAAATGCTCAATGGGGTTCAAATCTGGAGAACGTGCTGGCCAGGCTAAAACCTCAATATTGTTCTGTTGAAGGAACGTCTGCACTATGCGGGCGACAAGTGCATTATCGTGCATTAGAATAGAATGATCGCCGATTTTGTTGAGGATAGGCAACAGATGAGGTTCCAAAATCTCATCTACATAGCGAATGGCTGTCAAAGACCCTCCACGAACAACAACCAATCCTATGCGGCGCTCCATTGTAATCCCAGCCCACACCATTAAGGAACCACATCGGAAAGGTTGGTTCTGGGAAAAATTACAGGCTGCATATCTTTCGTTTCTTCTTATCCACACCCTTTCACGTCCGTCTGGAGATCGAAGAGCGAATCTTGACTCATCTGTAAAAAGTACAGCACTCCATTCGTCCATAGTCCAATGGCTGTGTTCTCGAGCAAAAGCCAACCGTGTTACTCTGTGAGTTCTGGTCAACTCTGGTCCTCTTACTGGACGAAAAGCCATTAATCCATACTCATTTAATCTTCTCCGAGCGGTATGTTCAGAAATTTGCACACCTTGAACTTCTTCGAGCTGATGAATCGCATGAACAATGGTAAGGTGCCGGTTTCGTAAAATTCTCAAAATCAAAAACCGGTCATCCCGTGGTTCTGTTACCCTAGGCCGTCCAGAACCGGGCCTTCTATTGTAAGAACCAGTTTCCCGAAAACGCCTGACGGCGTCTCGTAAAGTTTCATATGGAACTCTGATGGCATTAGCTGCATATCTAATGGAACGTCCATCATCAATAAGTGCCAACCACGCTCAACATCCTCAGCACTAAGAGGCATTTTTAAACTTAATATTGAAAAAATTAAAAGCCGGAGACTAGAAATGTGCTGCAAGAAATGGCACTGAACTAATGATACTGAATAAACATTTTGATTCCATAGAAAGTAAACATTGGAATCTAGAATCATTTCATTGAATTAAGGACTAAGGGTTATTGTCCTCTATATTAACATTCCTAATTGAAAACAAACAAAAAGATTACCTATGTATTCATTAAAAACAATAGACCAATCCAAAGCAGAAGTATTTTTAGATGAAAACATGAAAAAATCAAGTGGGTGGAATTTTTCGCTTGTCAGTGTATACTCCAAATAACAGTAAATACCATAATAAATAATTACAATTACAGAAAAATGACCATACAGAGTACCAAATGTTGAACATAATTCATTACCTTCAGTATTTTCTTGAAAAGCTGTATCCTTTTAAATTGATAATCGATATCTCTTTCTTTGATTGCCAAAGGCAGTGAAGCCATTTCAGAAGTTTCTTTGGAGATAATAAAACTAAAAACAAAACAATGATTTTTTTATTTTAAACATTAATAAATTAAAAAATCTGGAATGGTGCATCATACAACTTTCACTTACCACCCATGTACAAACCAATTTAAAAAAAAATTAATTAACCTTAAGAATATTACTTTTATTATAGACACAACTTTAAAGACAATTAATATAAATTATGAAAATTTTATGTAGAAAATATTTATGATTTATTAAGTTGAAAAAAAAAATTATTTTTCTATATATTTTCTATGAAAATTCCATTTAGTTTTTATGGAAACATTTACTTCCCATTCATTAATGTAAAATTATACATTATTAACTACAACAATTAAACAATATTAGCTTTTCGCTACTCTATATTATCTTCTATGTCATTCTATGTTAAATATTCATATTCCTAAAATCTTAAGCTTTCCAACAATATATCCTACATCTATATTACTCTTACTTTCAAATGATTGTTTTCAACCTGTGAAAATATTTTTTCAATTATCTCTTTAAGTTAACCCTCAAATTCTTTTAGCATTCATATTTATCCATTTTAGATTACTAACTTATAAGAGGAGGAAATTTTGATAATTGGACATTTCATAGATCCTGTCAGACTATTTCAATGAAGTTAATACCTTCATGATATTAAAAAACATCAAATTTTACATTGATACAAGTTTAAATAAAATAATTAGAGCTGTTTTTGAGAAAATTGAAGATATAAAGTGAAATAAGATGGCAAAAAAAATACTGAAAAATTATTGCATTAAATGGGTTTAATCTATTTTTAGATATGTAATGATTTTTAGCTTGGTGACTTAAATTATTCAGTGAGATCCTGTGAATGCTTTGAAACAATTTGAGCTCAAAATATTAAACAAATAATTCATAATATTTTAATTATTATGGATTATTTTCTGGTTTTATATATCAGGAGTAAGTTCATGATCGTTTGTGATGAATAAAAATTGTGAATACTTCAAAAACTAATAAATTAGAATAAAAAATAATTTAATTTTTTTTAAATCTACAGAAATCAGTTTTTATCCTAAGGGGAGGAATGCATTTGTATATCAACTAAAGCAACCTTAAGGCTGGATAAGGTTATTTCCTTAGCCATTCTAATTTTTTTTAAATATAATTAAATGTACAAAAATTTATAAATAAATGTATACGTCACATGATTAATATTTAAAAATCATAATTCACCTGTTATTCAAATCAGGGTATCTATATATCTTTGGAAGTTTCCTAAAGCGTTCTATTAAGTGGTTAATAGTTAAAAAAATAAGCTGCTCTTCAAAAATTCTTGCATCATTAACAGTTTGTCCAAATGTTGTTCCTTCAAGAAGTAGTAAACTAAAAATAATAAAAAAATTAAGTTAATATTTATGTTACCCTATGATGAAATTTTCATCAACAGCTCTGTGTGTACTGAATAATACTTAACAGATTAATTAAGTTTTATTTTGAACCTTAAAATAAGTGAGTAATTCAGTGTAAAATATTTAGGCATGTGAGCTACATGTCTCATAAATAAAATAAAGAGCATGTGTAATTATTTTTTATTTATTTATTAGGTTTATTTCATTAAACTCGTGGGTTCATACACATGACAAAGGTGGCAGAAATCATAGAAGAACTAGATCATACCAATCCCATTACAAATAGAATGCAACTCTCTAGTGCATCTTTGAAGTCATTATGCTAAAGGGGAGAACATCCTCTACTTTGCTGAGGGTGAGAATGACAGTAATTCCTAGGGACAGATGACAAAAATATTTCAATGTATTCTGTCATAGTTAATCATAGATAGAGACCAGATTTTCATTCTATTGCTCATTTTATTTTCTTGAATGTAAGAACTTTATATCCAATAATCTATCTATTTCATGATGTGTAGAATATAACATAACATACTGAAATTTTATATTGCACAAAACTGTATGATTTGCTTTTTTCAGGTGAAATTGCTAGATATTGATTTTTTGTTGCACGAAACTAAATATTTTGCACTTTTTAGACTAAATTTTGATCTTAAAAGCATTAAATTTAGTGTTTGTTCCAAATGACCCCCATGTAGGGTTGTTAGTCCCCCACCAGGCGCATTCCCAGGTGGTGGATTGGGGAATGCCTCCAACTAGCATGGGGTAGATGAGACTCCACAGTCTACAGTCGTAGTGAAGACAACACAATAGAGGAAGAGAATCTCGATAAAAAATCTTCTGGTCCTCCAGGTTGGGGGTTAGGCGTCAGGCTAATGAGCCGGCCCTGTAAAAAAATCATTGTATTCTGTTACACTCCTCCATGAAGAAATAGCTGAAATGATTTAATAGTATGATCCAGGCATGGATTCAGAAAGCATATGACTCTAGGAACATAGAACATCAAAAGCCTCCTCCAGATCGAAGCGAGTAAGGAACCTTAAGGAAGAACTTTTAAGGAATAAAATAGATATAACAGCACTACAGGATATTCGCTGGAAGGATAAAGAGCTGGCTGACCTAAAATTGAACTAGTTGACCTAAACCTTCTTATTAACAGTAAACATAAACGAAACCATGTTGGGACAGAGTTTATGATAAGTAATAAGTTAAAACACTCCCAGCTGAAATGCGAACTTATCAACCCACATATCTGGGCAATAAGACTAAGGGGACTGTTTTTCAATATTTATATGGTTAGTGTGCATGCAATATTGGAGATGGGGACAATAAAACAAATGATGCACTTTACCACGCCCAAGAAAGAACCTAAAATGCTTTACCAACCTACGATTTGAAACTTACCCATGGAAACTTCAAAGCAAAAATAAGCAAAGAAAAATATTTCAGACCCATGATAGGGGTACAAAGCAAACACAGGAAAACTAATGATAATTATTTCAGGTTAGTGAATTTTGCTATGGGAAGAAGCATGATGGTAAGCAGCACAAAGATATTCATAAAAAAAACATTGATATCACCAGATGGCAAGACAAGAAATCAAATTGATCATGTCTTCTTGATTCAGTCGAGACACCACGGATATCCAAGACTTCCAAAGCTGTAGAGGAGCAGTGTATGGATCAGACCACCATCTAGTCAAAATAAAATATAAGCAAAAAATTGGGCTGAAGGCCCGAGGAAAAGCAGAGCAGCCTCCAATTTGCTTTGATAGCGAACGGCTGAAGGACGAAGCTACAAGGCAAAGATTTGTCTCAAGATTATGCGAGCAACTTGGAAGTAATGGGAGAGTAAACTATGTCACCACAAGGTGGACACATCTGAAAGGAGCCCTAAATAGAGCAAAAATGGAGAAGGCTAGATGAAAAACCTAGACCAGCAAGAAACAACTGACTCGATTAGGAATGCAGAACAAAACTCAAAGCAAGGAATGAGGTGAGGTGTAAGATGATTCAGCATCACTGCTAAGGAGTATAGTGACAAGAGGAAGGAAGCAAAGAAGATCTGCATTCAGAAGAAAAGAATCTGAGAAAGGAAGAAGCTGAAAAATATCCAGGAGAAATTTGAAGACCATAATTCCAGGGGTTTCTTTGGAGGCATGAGACAAGAGAAAAAAAGGCTTTAAACCTCGTCTCAGCTTTTGTGAGAATAAAGATGGAAACTTGTTTATGGGTAAGGAAGAAGTGATTAGCAGATGAACAGAATATTTCAGGGAGATGACAAGTAAGGATCATGCCATTGATGATAGTGGGCCATTGGAAGCTGACCTTGACAGGATCCTGAACCCACAACCAGATGAACTGGATGAGGATGACAGCCCACTGGATTGGGAGGAAATAGTGGAGATTGTCAGCCCCTGAGATAGATGGGAGCCCCTGGGGCTCTAACTACAGAGGGATTTCTCTGTTGAGTACGGCTAACAAGGTATTGTCGGCTGCCATAACCAGAGGCTTACCACTCACATGAAAAGAGAAGTTAGGAGTACCAATGCGGCTTTAGTCAAGAAGGTCCACAATAGACCAAATATTCAAAGTGTGTCAATTGCTGGAGTAGTCTTTGCAGTACGATGTTGACCTGCATCATCCATCATTTCATCATCATTTTCATAGACTTCAAACAGGCCTACGATTCAGTGGATTGGTCAACATTGCTCAGAGATCTCCTATCCCCAGGTGACTAACCAGGCTAGTAAGGATGACAATGAGAGATACAAGATATCAGGTGAATCTGCAGGGGGTACCATCTGAGGAGTTCCGGATAACGGCAGGAATCTTGCGAGGAGATACAAAGGCAACCCACACTCTTTAATATGAGCTTAGAAAAAACTGTGCCTGCTATCACGACAAACCCAGGAGGCACAATCTTCAACTACCTCACACAGCATTTTGCATAGGCGGACGATCTGGAGATTGTGGCCAGATCACTTCCAGCACTGGCAGGGGGCTCAGATGAGTTAGAGATGGTAGCAGCGTTAAGGGGTCTGCGCATAAATAAAAAAGATGGCCTACAAGAAGAGTAGCAGACGTCTCTCTTCGCAGAACAATGAAACCGTAAGTATTGCCTTCCGTAATTTCCCAGTATACAAGGAATTTGAGTACTTTGGCTCCTTAATGACAGACGATAACAATATAAAGTCTGATATTGGTGCCAGAATAGCTGCAGGAAACCGATGCTACTTTGCTCTTCAGCGAGTACTTAAATGTCAAGGATGGAATGAGAAGTAGTATACAAGACCATGATACATCCTGACTGCTGAACATGAAAGAATGTTGGGAGTCTGGAGAGCAAGCTACAACCAGGAGCTTACCACACTATACGGAAAGGCAGACATTGGCACATTTATCAAGGCATCCCATATAAGATGGATGGGCCATGTGGAGAGGATGCCAGGTGGAAGGGTGCCAAGGAAAGTGCTATATGGACAACCTGAAAAAGGAAGGAGAGAAAAGCCATCACTCCAGTGACATAGTGGCGGATCTGAGATGATGTAAGCTTGTTAGGCTGGTGGAGAGTTACCACAAAAGATCAAGAAGAGTGCATAGGAATCATGAAGGAGAGCCAGATTCTACACGGACAGTAGCAACAAGGAAGAAGAAGTTTCTAATGACCAATTTTTAAAATATATGTAATGATTTACCAGTTAGGTCTCATTTAACCGGTTGACTACGGGCGGGATACATGCCTTCCCGTTAGGAGTTGGGTCACTTTGTTGACAGAATATATGCCATCCTGTCAGTGAGTTGGGTCACTGGTGCGGCCGGGATATATGCTTCCCCGACTTTGCTGTCGCTACTTAAAGAGGTAGTCCCGCCTTGACCATTTGACTTGTGGCTTGGTCAGTGCATTCATTAGTCCCCTGTACCTGACTCAGTATGGTCATTCCGAATTTTGACCATTTAGAAGCTATCAGTTGCAGATTTATTCTGAACCCCGAGGTATGTCCTTTCTCTGTTATTTGTGTCATATACATGATCTTGTTTATATTCTATATAAATATTTTATGCATTAAATAAATGTTAATAAGTTAATTTTGTTTTAAATTTAGGTTTTGACTGGATGCTGATTTTGGTACACATGAATCTGTCTACTAAACAAATAAATATAAGTTTCCTATATTATATAAATATAATTGTAATAAATAAATGTAAAAACATACAAAAATTAATAAATGTAAAATATAACAGAATTACAATGATAATTTAGTTGTTTTATAATTTTTCATTCCAACCCAAACAATATGTATATATCTATTTCATATAATATAAAAGTGTTTGAAACTCAAAATAAATGTAAATAAATGCAATAATAACATTTATAACTGTGTTATGTTTCAATATGGAACTTTTATAGGTAAGAATTAAATTTGTATATACAAAGAAATATATAATTTATATATATTTTTAAATTTATATATATATCCAATCATCGGTGTCCTTTTTTTATAGATAATATAATTTAATTTTTATGATCACTTACAGACAGGAAGGCATATGTCCTGTTTATTAAAAGTTGGATGAAAAGGTTAGAATGCATTTTTGAAAGCTAAGATCTATCAGAGTGACTGCTATAGTATATTAAACAAATTTATGCAAAAAAAAAACTTTTTTTCTGAACGTCTTTTTGAATTTCAGGACACACCATCTGGTAAAAACACTCCAATGAGCTACAGCAGTTAAAGGGATAAAAAAAAACAATTAAAGTATTTGTAAGCAAACAAGTCTTATTGTCACTTGGTTGAACTGGTACTGCTACTGGGGGAGGGGGACTAGTCCGGCAAGTGGGCTCTATTGTGATCCTTTTTGCCAACCCCTGACGGCTACATTGAGGTTGCTGCTTTTTACTTACCAGAGTGGTAATGTCACGATTTATTTCCCGGAGCCGCTGAGAAATGAAAAGTAACCGACCCAGATGGAAATCGAACCCACAACGTTCAGAACCGGACACTCTGGAACCTACGCCTCAACTTGCGTAGGTCGTAGAGATAGTGGGGTGAACAGTATTGACCAAATAGCAGGATACTATTATTGAGAACATAAAACATTATGGCAATACCTTAAAATTTATCTTTATATTTTTTACGTCATTATGATAAATGGTCACCTAAAGTCCAATAATGAGGGGGATTCCGATGAGCCTTTTCAATTTTAGAGACAGCATAATGATTTTAAAAATCTGGTGCGATGCACGCATCATACAACTTTCACTTACCACTCTCTTCTTAGTGGAAAAATATGTTTTCAGACAAAGGGGAAGTAAAGGAAAAATTATAGACAATATATTTATTTATATTTATACATGGTATAAATTAACATATTTGGCATTGTTACTTGTTGCTTCAAATAAAAAAAATTAAAGGTACTTTAGGGGAAACTAATATTGAAAATTAGCCATTTAAGCTCTGTTAGAGAACATCAATCAGAATAAATACTACATTTTATTTAAAACTGTTTAATTTGACACTGATATGGTGAATTTAATCAAACTCGTTGAAGCCGTTTTCGAGAAAATTGTAAAAATGTGTTTAGTCCATTATATTAAGTGCCACTTCCGGTTAGCCGATTTTGAGGAAAAAGTTGCTGTAACATCCCTGCCATATAAAAACCTTAAATATGCAATTTCACTTCCATATGACTTTTTGTTTTTAAGCTAGACCGTTAACATACCGAAACCACTTTGCGGGACTGAGTTATTTGGACTCAGGAGACCTCAAAACGTGTATTTCCATTGAAAACTGAGATTCAAAAATGTTTACTATCGCAATACTTTCCTTTATTATGTGTTTCATATATATGTAACTGAAAATAAAAACACGACCACCAATATCCCCCATTCTCATGCCACAATCTATACATATTTCATGTTCAGAAGATAAGCCTAGAACAAAGAAAAAGGGAAAAAGATGTCAAGTTCAGTATGTTAGTGGAGTGAGAAAAGAAGTCTTGTTTCTTTTGTTTTCTGCTAATGTTCAGATGAACTCATTCTGTGTTTGAAACTTTGAGTAAATCTATTTACGTAAGAGATTGGTTAAATCTATTTACGTAATAAATTGAGTAAACCTATTTATGTAATAGATTGAGTAAATCTATTTCCGTAATAGATTGAGTAAATATCTTTGCCCAATAGATTGAGCAAATCTATTTTCGTAATAGATTGAGTGAATAGGCTAAAACAAAGAAAAAGTGGAAGATATGTCAAGTTTGATACTCTAGAGGAATGAGGAAAGAAGTATTGTTTCTTTTTTTGCAGGAAATGTCCTAATAAACCCGTTCAGTACTGGAAACTTTGAGTAAATCTATTTACTTAATAGATCTTAATCTATTAAGTAAATAATGGTGTAGAGATGGTTGACCGTGATATAATATGAGAAGGAGTTGGTCGGTGGGTGTGGTCAAATAAATGCTAAATTTTTAAAATAATATTTTAATTATCACGCCGACTTTCTACCCACTTTGTAGGTCTTCATCAGGGCGAGGTATACAGACCTGCAGGAATCAGTTGACAGACTTAGACTGAGTCTGTATACCATATACCACGTGCTGATGGAGACCTACAAAGTGGGTCGAAATCAGTTAAACAGTTTTTGGAAACTGTTTGAGTAAATCTATTTACTTAATATGAGAAGGAGTTGGTCGGGGGGTGTTAGACTTAGACCGAGTCAACTGCTTCCTGCAGTGCCCTATACCACATCCTAATGAAGACCTACAAAGTGGATCGAAATGTCGACGTAACAATTAAAATACTATTTTAAAAATTTAATATTTATTTGACTTATCTATTTACATCGCAGGTAACATATTAAAATACGGTTTACAAAGTTACTTTCATTAGATACATCTAAAAAAATCCTAGTTCTATATTAAATTTTCAAGGGCATTTATATTTTCGAGGAAAATCTTTATTTCACCTTTTTCACTTTTAAATTATTTATGAAAAGTCAATTCTAAAAATGAAATGTTGATCATAAAAATACTAAAACTATAAGACGTCTCAAATAAGAAAAGGACAAAAAAAAAAAAGAATTTTTTCAAAATTTAACATACTATTTAATAAATTGCCTATGGACAGTCAAAAAATTAAACATTTTTTTTAAAATTTACGTCAAGTGTTACACGTCCTTTTAGTACAACAGTCTTATGTTAGCTGTGGGCTTACCTATTATTATGCTCTTTGGGATTTAGATTACTGCATTATTTTAATGATTTAAAGTTTCTTATTATTGACAATAATTAAATTACTTTAATAAAATTCTAATTTATTGATTATATTTACATAATGCTGCCGATCCCCTTGATATCCGTTTTGAAATTTACATTTTTAATATTTTTAGTTATATAAATAGATTCCAAAATCTTTCTCATTTTTTTATCTTCAGCCCTATTTAAAATTTCTATTTTATCATAATCAAGAATATGATTATTCATGATACTTGATTATGATTCATGATTCATGATGCCTTGCTAAAACTGTGACATTGATATTTTTCGGGTTTTCAGTATTTATTTTAAGCTGGTTTATTCTATTTTGCAAATTTTGAGAGGTTTCCCCAATGTAAAATTTATTTATACATTGTTTACAATTAATTTTATAAATTAAATTTTGTTTATTCTCGCTTTCAATTTTATCCTTCATATTTGTTTAATTTATTATTATTATGATGGATAATATTATTATAATATACACCAAATTTTGTTTTGAATATATATTTAATTTTATTAGTTATTCCTGCTATATATTTTAATTAAAAAAAAAAAAAAAAGCTGCACATTTTCACCATATTTTGTTTCTCATTTTAGTTATGTTTAATGTTTTTAGGTGGATAGAAAAATGATAAAACAACTACAGTATCATTTTAATTCTGTTATATTTTTACATTTATTAATTTTTGTATATTTTTACATTCATTTATTACAATATATATTTATATAATTTAGGAAACAAACACTTATTTGTTTAGTAGATAGAGATTCATGTGTACCAAAATCAGCATGCAGTCAAATCCTAAATTAAAAAAAAAATAGCAAAAATTATAAAATTAACTTATTAACATTTATTTGATGTATAAAACATTTAAATGGAATATACAAAAATAACAGAGAAAGGACATACCTTGTGTTTAGACTAAATCTGCAACTGATAGCTTCTAAATGGTCAAAATCCGGAACAACCACACTGAGTCAGCTACAGAGGACTAATGAATGCACCGACCAAGCCACAAATCAAATGGTCAATGCGGGACTTACCCCTACCTCTTTAAGTGGCGACAGCCAAGGTGCCAAGACATATATCCCGGCCACACCAGTGACCCAACTCACTGCTGGGAAGGCATATATGCTGCACTAGTGACCCGATTCCTAACAGGAAGGCATGTATCCCGTCCGCAGTCAAAGGGTATAAAAGCATTTTTATCAAACAATAAAAAGCATTTTATTGATGAAAAATTAAAATAGCTGATAAATGACTAAATTAACCACTAAAAATTATTTTTACTTTGGAATTGAAAGAACAGCCGGTTTTGTTCTGATAAGGCCTTCTTTTTTTAATTCTTGATAAACATCACCGCCTGCAAGCTGCCAATAATGGTATAACTCTAATAATAAATTTCGATCAAGAGGTAAATAGGCTGAACTTTGATTTTTCCTGAAAATAAAAGGATACAAATATAATATATTTAATAATTAATAGCTTTAACAAGAAAGGGGCAAAATCGTAATCATTGATTACAACTGAAAATAAAATTTAATGACCACACCACTTTTATACTTGATACAATAGCACCATAAATATAGCGAAAGTATGGAACGATTACCTGATTACAATCGTAATCATAAACCTGATTACAATTACAATCGTGTAATCACATAATCAAAATCACTGAAATTGTAATCATGAAATCATATTCACTGTAATCATAATCCTGTAATTAAAATCACTGTAATCGTAATCACGTAATTGTAATAAAAAAATCAAATACACACGATTTTTCTCTGTTTAGAGACAGACTTAAAGAAAAAAAAGTATAAAACATTTTCTATTTTCTTTTAGTTGTTGAGAGCACTTTCTATGATAATACAATCGGTTTAACATTTAATATTTTCATTTGCTTTTCCTCTTTTATCTCGTGAATGAAGGATCAGTTTTTTTACAGTATTTACAGTTTTTAGGCCATGTAGAGGTAGGTAAACGCTTTTATTTATTACAACTGAATGAATGCTCAGTTGTTCACCGTTCCAACCATTTTATAGCTGTTTAGAGGCAGGCCTATGGAAAAGAGATTGGTGAAAATGTTCTGAATTTTCATTTGCTTTTCTTCTTTTATTTCGGAAATGAAGGATCAGATTTCACCGTTCCAACAGTTTTCGGGCTATCTACATAGCCATACAGTTTAGAGGAAGGCCAATGGAATTTTTTACTTACCTCTACAGGTAGAAAAAAACAGAGAAATGATGTAAAAATGTTTCCCAATTTTCATACACTTTTCCTCTTTTATCTTGTGAATGGAGTCTCAGTTTTTCACCTTTCCAACCATTTTATAACTGCTTAGAGGAAGGCCATTGGAAACAGGAGTGGTATAAATTTTCAAAGTTTTTCTTCTTATATCTCGGAAATGAAGGACCAGATTTTGACCGTTCCAACAGTTTCTACACTAATTCTCTATTTTTGCCTACATCTGTATAGTCGGAAAACTGTTGGAGCAGTGAAAAAACTAGCATCCATTGACGAGATAAAAGAGGAAAAGCGAATAGAAATTTGGAAAATTGTTACCACTTCTTTTTCCATTGGCCTGCCTCTAAACAGTTATAAAATCATTGGAACGGTGAAAAACCGAGCATTCATCCACAAAATAAAAAAGGAAAAGCTTATGAAAATTCTGAAAATTTTCTACACCATTTCCCTACCTCTTCATAGTCAGAAAACAGTTGGCACAGTGAATAACCGAAACCTTCATTCCAGAGATAAAAGAGGAAAAGCGAATGAAAATTTTTACCATTCCTTTTTCCATTGTCCTGCCCATAACAGCTATAAAATTGTTGGAACGGTGAAAAACCAAGCATTCATTCATGAAATAAAAAAGGAAAAGTGTATGGAAATTTAGAAAATGTTCTACACTAATTCTCTATTTTCATCTACATCTACATAGTTGGAAAACTGTTGGAGCGGTGAAAACCGAGAATCCATTCACGAGTTAAAAGAGGAAAAGCGAATGAAAATTTTAAAAAAATTTCATTTCACCATTTTCACCTACATCTACATAGTCGGAAAACAGTTGGTACAGGAAAAGCTAAGCATTCGTTCCCGAGATAAAAGAAGAAAAGCGAATGAAAATTCGGAAAATTTGTAGCAATGTTTCCATTGGCTTGCCTCTAAACAGTTATAAAATTCTTGGAATGGTGAACAACCGAGCATCCATTCATGAGATAAAAGAAGAAGAGCGAATGGAAATTCGGAAAATGTTAAATGTTAACCGAAAGTATTATCATAGAAGTGCTCCCGACAGCAAAAGAAAATAGAAAATGTTTTATTCTTGTTTTTCTTTAAGCCAATCTCTAAACAGACGAAAATCATGTGTATTTGATTTTTTTATTACAATTATGATTACAATGATTATAATTACAATTACATGATTATAATCAAAATAAAAAACCGTGATTACGATTACAATCGTGTAATCAAATAATTGTGTTTTTTTTTTTATAATCGTAATCGTAGATTATGATTATGCCCATCTATGGCTTTAGCTATTATAATATATAATCAATATTTTATTTATTATTAATAATTATCTTACTTGTTATTAACTTTTTCAAAAGTGAGTAATGCAAAAATATCTTCCTTTAACAGTTCTCGAGCACTTGGTCGATCTATGGGGTTGGTTTTAAGCATTTTGTTTACTAATAGAATAATTTCATAAGGAAGTTTCTGGAAAATGGAAAAAAATAATATTAAGAATTTATTTCTTTAAAATATAGCATATCAGAGATGCCTGAAGACTATCATTAGTAATTAAAAAGAGAGTTTAGCTGTTGGAAGCTGCATCATGAGATCAGTAAGAATATGTGAGGTACACTATATCCAATGTTCATTTTAAAGTAATCATATATCAGTGGGTTGAAATAAAAGAATATCTTAATAGCTTCAAGACTGTTCGAAGAATTTCCTTCAGCATAACTCAACTGATTTAATTAAAAATATAAAATTAAAAAATCTAGAAGACAATGTCACAATCTCTAATACATTTATTAAATAATTAAGGATTAAATTTTAAAATGCAGATAGGTAACTTAATAGAATAATTTCATAAGAAAAAAGATCTAAAATATTCTAAAAAAACTCTAACCTTTAATATGTCACATTTATTGCATTTCTTCGCTATATCATAAAAAACATCATTTATGTCAATGAAAGACAAACAGTCCTTAATGCAAGTACTTAATGATTCATTAGAAAAAATATCACAATCTAACAAAATTTCAGCTAAGATTATTCCTAAGGACCATATATCTGCTTTTCCAGATGTTTTCTCATGTGGTCCCTGGAGAATAACATCAGGTGCAAAATATTTTATATCTCTAAAAAAGAAAAAAAAATTTCAGTGGTGCAAAAATAAAGAAAATGATTTTTTTAAATTTAACAAAAAACTGACATATTAAAAAGTGTGGATCTATAAAAAATATTAAAAAGTTAGATAATAAATTTTAGTTCCTTTCATGACCACTAAATAATGATTAAAATGTAGGCACATGCCAGCATTCATTTATCAGAGAACTAATTGATGAAAAAAAGTTAGCATTATTATACTGTGAAACAAATATAAAATGCAACTGAGGAAATTGTGGCCAAAAGGTATTCTAAGAGTGAAAAATCAGAGGAAGAAGATTTTAAAAGGAATTAAACACTCAGAATATCATGAATGAACTGGTCATGTTTACTGTATCCGAACCTTACAAAAAGTGGACTTTAGCATAAAGTGGATTAATTAATTATTAACCCATATTAATCTTTGTATATGGGCTCAAAGGGTAAAGTCAGGATGAATAGAAAGGAGTCTGGGAGCTTGGATATAAAGAGAGGTGTCAAACAGGGAGATAGTCTGAGCTGTTAAATGTTAAGAAGAGATCTCTTTATTGTTCTGATGGACGAGGTATTGAAAATATGTATAAGAAGGACGACACAAACAGTAGTAGAGAAATGGAACTTGAGAACAGTTCATGCCCAGACACTTCTCTATGCCGATGATATTGTACTCATAGCGGACTCTGTTCAGAATCTTCAGCAAGCTGTAGAGGCATGATTATAAATAAAAGTAAAAGCAAAGTCATGCAAATTGGATGAAAACCTGAAGATGTGCAGATTACTTGCGAAGAATAAATCATAGAGGTAGCAGAAGATTACACGTACATAGGTACAGTTATTAGCAAAGATGGTAAAATTCAACAAGAAATATCTAATAGGATTGAAAAAGCAAACAAGATTTATTACCAAAGCTGCAATACTATTATTGGGAAATGTGAAGTTGAGAAAAAAGTAAAACTTCACATTTTTAATGCTATTTACCTTCCCACCGACTATACGGAAGTTAGAGCTGGTTCCTTCTCGACAGATTGAGGAACAAAATCACCTCAGAAGTGAAATATCTCAGGAAAGTAGCCGGCCGAATACGAAGGAACACTTCAGGAATACCAGAATAAGAGAGAAGATAGGGGTGAATCCACTAACTGAAATTCTTGAGAAGAGGCAGTTGAAGTGGTTCAGTGGATATGCCGAATGAATGAAGACAGTGGACCACGCAAATTCTTCGAAGCAAGACCAACTAGCAAAAGACAAAGAGGCAGGCCAAGGATGTTGTGGCTAGACTAGGAGTGAAAAGAAGAAAGCTGTTGGATTCCATGAGAGTAGAGGCAAGAGACCGGGACAGATGGAAAGCTTGGATCGAGGTACCTCCACGCTGAGAGGCACTGAGGAGGAAGAAGAATAGACGTGCATGTTACATCCTGTTACATGAATATGCCCGTGCTGCATTTACTGCAACACTCATTTTTTAAACAGTTTAACATATATTTAGTTTATTTAAATTAATAAATTGAATCTTAATATTTAAAAAAGTTACTTTTTATTTATATTTGAGTTATTGTTGTTTTTTTTTAATTATTAAATGAGTAGGATTTGATAAAAATAAAATACTGAAATAAATACAAGCATTTTTAATTTATTTTAAAATTCACACAATAATGTTAATTAAAATAAAAATAGTAACAATAAAAAACATATAGTCTATTTTGTTTATACATCTAAGTCCAAACAAACCATTTGATTACAGGCTTTCTCTACACTTTTGATTTCTTCACCACATTATAAGTGCGTATTTATTGTTCTACCATGGTGTTTATAAGAAAATATCTTCATGTTCCACATGTTATTGTTATGCAAATATTTTATTTACCCACATACATGACATGTTCCTCTTTTTTTGAGGGGACTCCAAAGTTTTAGGTTTTGGAGATCCATATTGTTCTCGGAGAAAAGCTCATATAGTCGAAGGTAATGAAGGAATTGTAGATTTCAGTTTCACCTCAGGTTTTATGATATCCATGGCTAATGGCTAATGCTTTTATAACTATTCTCCACTTTTGAATAATAGAGTGAAATCAGGATAATAACAGATACACCAGCAGGTGTGCATTGTATTCTATGCAACAATCAGATGTTTACCACTGGAAATCCAGGTGACAACAGGATTTGCAAATATTTAAAAAAAAAAAATTTGATGATCAGGTAGCAGAGGGTATTTGCTAGGAATACACGTGAATTGGAGGCCCAGTCAGTATACCTAAAAGGGTAAAAGAAACCTGATTATGTCCAACTACTGCACTCTATGCAACAGCACACCCGCTTGTGGGTTAAGAACGATTTGAGAAACTGAAGGCTTTGCTTAGGAATCTTCTAATAATAACCAACTAATAACAATCATTATTACATTATTATTGGAAGATTTAATTTTGATGTTAATTATTTTAATAATCAATATTAAAATTAATTGAACATTAGGTTATAATTGGAAAAATCTAACTACACAACCTTGTGTATCTAAAAAGTAGATAAAAATAAACTAACCCTTCAACGTTTCACCAATTCAGGCATCATCAGGACAGAAAAAAAGAAATCACGCTATTCACACATGACATACAAACATATGCACAGGTACTACACGGTATAGCCAAGTGTAGATCAGTATAGCTTCCTCACTATTTATATTGGATGAATACAAAAATAAAATAAAAATTACCAGGAATCGTAGGGGAAAAGGTGTTAAAAATTAGTGGGTTCAGATGGGCCTTGAGTTTATTATAGAAGGATAGGTATCTGGATTAGGCTAATGTTGCAATATATGGAACTTAAGGTCATTAAGGATAGGATATGAGAGGAATCAGAGGAGTTAGTGCAACCTTAATCTTCAACTGTGCGAGTTCGAATAGACTTATTATTACCATGTAAATGAACCTTATGTAATATTATTGGAAGCTTAGAGCGTTTGTCTTATATACGCCCAGCAGTTTCTTATCTTAAATTCAATGATTTAATTGTTTTAAAAAATAATACACATAAAAATTTCCCACATAATTACGAAATTTGTACACTAACCCTCAACTTTTGGTTAAATCAGACGAACAGTTTTTGAAATATATTCATGTCAAGGAAAATAAGTTTACACATGAATAAGCAAGAGTACTGATAATAGATCATTTTACCAATCTTTAACTATTATCTAACTTTAGACCAAATCAAACAAGCTGGTTGTGCCAAAGAATGGTTTCCATTTAAATGTCCCGCGTTACGGCGAATGGTGGGGGCAGATTTAAAAGATAAAGATAGCACTTAAGCCCTGAGAGGAACTAGTTGTATCTGCTCATTCCATCAGCACGCACTGGCCTAACACCATCTCCAGCACAAGAGTACTGAGTAAGTACTAAGTACTGAGAGCTCTCCAGGTAAAAAAGATGTGGGCTGGCATATAGATGGTAAGCTGTTTTTTTTTTTTTTTTTTTTGCACAATTATTAACCTACCAATCCCTTGAGATACAGCCCACTGCTTAAAAATTAGAATTTTACCTTAAATGTTGGAATGTTGCCTTATTGAAACACATGGAAGTTATTTTGTCATAATTAGAAAGTTGCCTAAACACAAGCTGTTTTCAAAATATAGGTGTTTTAACATTTGTACATGCTTATCATTATCGGAGTCACAGTTCATCCAATGTTTTTGGAAACATTTTTCCCTCCAAGAACAGTTCTCACAAATTTGGCTAATGTGGCAATGTCTTGTTATTTGCCTAATTTTGTTGTTGTTTCAATTTGTTTAACACATCTTCCACAATTCACAAATATTTTCTTCATGATTTCAAGGCCATGGATGGTTTTATGAATTGTCATGCAGTAGAAATTTTATAAATACTATCAAAGATCATAAAATCTTTTAAAAAAGCATCCTCATCTATCATTACCTATAGCAAGTTAGAGGTGAAAATTTATTTAGTTACCATTATTGAACTATGATCCATGGGCTAAATTAGAGCTGTCATATTTGATGGTAAAAGCTTTATAATGGTTTGTCCATTAGCTGATTTTAAAAATTTTTGAAATGTACATTTAGAGATTAACAGCATAATCAAATGGTAACTTTTTCTTAAACTTGAGGTACTAAGTAATTTTGAAACCCTAATAATGTAGAGTGTTGAGTTAATTCATCCATAATCTGGCTTGGTTGTAATAATGTACAATACGTACAATTTCCGCTCTGGTGCCTTTTAGTGAATTAGGTTTCTTTTAATTTTCCAATTAACACTTTTTTGGGTAAAAAAAAATCAGGTGGGTATCAGTAAAAAAAAAAAATTAAGGGGTTTGTGGATCTCATAATAATTAAAAGACAAACTATTTGTTTTTGTTAGGTTTACGACTCGCTGACTTCTTTTCCAATAAAAAAAAAAATTATTTCAATAAATAATATTTAATAACTTAGCATAGTAGTATTGTTGCTCTTGACAAGATATTTTGATTGATTTATTATTTATCTGTGTAGACAGTAAATATGATTTTCTTAAACTATGAATAATTTCAAATATATGAAACAGTATTAGACACAAAAACAATTAGAGAGTATAAAATATACTAACCCTATTGGAAACAAGACATCCGTGCCATTTCCAGTCATGTAATACAATCCATAATTAAAAACTTTCCATTGAGGATTAGTAAAAAATATATTCTTTTTTGAAAGAGATCGATGAGTAATATCTTTGCTATGTAAATAAGATAAAGCTTTCAAAACATCTTTAGCTAATCCTAATATTTCAATAATATTTTCAAAAGTGAATTCTGATAAAGGAGTTCCATACTGTTCACTAACAATCACAGTTCTTTCTGGAAAAAAAGAAGAAAGAAAATACTATAATAACGTTAATAATAAAAAAAATCACACAAATTATGTACTTATTTATAAAATAATTAAGTATTATTTTATAATTAATGAACTTAGTTCTTCCACAGTAGACTATGATTAAAGCCACAATATGGAATATAACAGCTTCTGTAACACAATACAGACCCAGCAAAATATCCATTTAGCCGGAAGATTTATAGGTAATAGCCCTTTAGTTAGAAAATATTTACCACCCCAAACCATGAAATGAACGCTGGTTACTTCATACTCAGAGATTTCTAGTAGAAAATTTTAATTTGTTGGCCCAGTTAATGTAGCTAAAAAAAAGTGTTGCTGTGTAGCAAAAAGTTGAGTAATTCTGAATAACTCTTGTGCATTTTCTGTTTTTTTAAAAAATAATAATAATTATCAAAAATTAAAATTAAAGCAAAACGATGACAACACTCCAATTAGTTTTCTTCCAGTTACAAATAATGGTTTTTTGAATGTTGAAAAACTTAGGTTGCAGAAGATGGTCTGGGGTGGTGGTCATAAAAAGACTAAAATCAAGAAAAAATATTTTATTTCAAGCATTTTTCGCTATTTTAGTTTTTTTATGACTGCCACCCCAAATCATCGCCTTCCTCAAAATAATACAACAGGCAACCATCAAGTATTCAATTAGGTTGCAGAAGTGTTATTTTTATCTGATTACTGAAATTCAGAAACAGGCTATATTTGAGATTGCTATGCAAAATGTAAATTAAAAAAAAAATCAATTTTATTTTATTTTTTTTTCTAGAAACTAACAATTAATTTTTACATTTTAGGTTATACATACATTTAAAATTATAAATTTTGTTGTTTTTTTTCATGTCACCAGTATACATATATTGTATTTGTTTATTCTTTGTATTGTTGCTTTGGTTTTAAGACAATACACCATATATTTTTTTTCTTTAGAAACACTTTATTTTCATATAAATGAGTGCTGCTCAATTATATTGCTGCTAAGTACACAGCCTACTAGTTAATCGCTATAGACAATCAATATTTATAATAATATTGTTAAGAGGTTCAATTAGAAAAGAAAGACTAACACGTTTAAATAATTTGAAGGTTCTATAATGTTCCATTTAAAAAGTTAAAGAATTATGAATGTTTTTTGTCCCGCTCTGCAATAGAAGAATAAGAATGCACAAGTCAATAAAATACATGTAATTTACAGTACATTTATTATTTTTCTTTAATCTAGATAATTTTATTTATAAATTACCTCTTTTTGCATTATTAAGTAAGTTTCTCTTTTTTTAACTTTTCATTTGTTTATTCAATTTAATCACTTTTATTACTATTGAACTCCTACAACAGTGTGACCACGATTAGTAGGAAGTCAAAGGGCAATTTTATACGGCACTAACAAAAAGTTGAAACTTAGTATTTTATTGAAAATAAAATATTGCATTTTCCCTAACCCTCTGATATAACTTTTAAAACATTTGCACAGATGTATTTACATTAGGAGGTTACAATATCACATTTTAATAAATGTATATATTTTTGAGAAAAAAAAAAGAAGTAATATCAAAGGTTAGGAAAAAAACAATATTGTTAGTTTTAAATTAGTACCACCAGGTATTGAGAAATCTGAAAACGTAAAGGGAGTAATGATTGTCACTCATGAATGGTGATGAACCTTCTGCTGGAGATAATGATATTATGTAACATCAAACATAAAAATTATGTTTATTTTTTTACATGATAATTTTAATGGAAGGAAATGGTCTGGGGGGGGGGCGGTCATAAATAGGCTAAATAGTGGCAAAACTATTTTATTAAAAGCCGAATGATAATTTAATATAATAAATATTTTGTGTAAATGAGTTCACAAAGTTATTTATATTTATTAATAGGAAACAGAGGTGGAAACCTTTATGGAACTTTTTTTAAAAAGTATTATTTTAACAGTTTTTGTGAAATTTTTTTATGAAAAATGTTTTTAAAATATAATTTTTTTGTAATAAAGTTCAAAAAAGACATAACATTAATTAAAAAATTGTAATTGGGCTTGGATTTGAGTTATTATTTATCTTAAATGAATTACTTGATTTTAATGTATGGTTTGTTTGAATAGCTAAGAATAATAACCATTTTTTTTAGATCTTGGAGCGCTACCAATGGGTATTTCATCTTCATGTTGTACATGTCTTATTACCAATTCAAATTTGATTAAATATATTCAAAACAATTTTTTTTTTTAATCGACTTTTTGGCAAAACCAACAAAACTATTACATAAAAATTCTGTAAAACCTTTACTTCAAATGTTACAAGGAAAAAAAATTCATAAATACTGTATTCATTCATAAATAATGTGATTAATGTGATCTTGATCCACCTATAATCCAGATATGTAAGCAGTGAACTAATACAAGAAAGAAATAAGTGAATTGCTATACATGAATTTTTCATCATGGATAAAATAATTCTTAAACATAAAAATTGATAGACAGTCTATCTATTATACAATAAAGTCAATATTTTCTAAAAGTAGTGATACTGACATCAACAAATATCTGAAGCAAAACTCTCTCTCCGAATACCTTGGTACAACCAAGTATTACACAAAACAATATGCAGCTCTCTTTCAAATGGTGAAATAATATTGGTGGACTTTTGAGTTCAAAGAGTTTTATTACAATATAGATCTAACATAATAGAATTAAATTTAAAAGATTCATATACAAGTAAATATGGTCAAAATCTCTTTTTCAGATACCATAATAAAACCATGTGTTACTGAAAAGAGCATGAAATTCCATTTCAAATGACAAAATAATATTGAGCTTTTGAATTTAAGGAATTTGATATATCAGAATATTTAGTGCGAAAACTAGAACTTTAACAAGTAAAAAATGACATTTTAGCTTCACTATAACCTAAACAAGGGAGGAAAATCCCACAAGAACTAATTGATGTAATACATCTGTTTTATCAAAACAATGAATTTTCCTATTTGATGCTAAGAACTAAAGATATTATTGGAATTGAAAAAATGTTCAAATCAAAAAAAGACTGATTATATGTAATAAATATAAATTGTTCAATGCTTTCAAGAAAATTTACCCAGATCTTAAAATAGGATCATTCAAGTTTTGGACATTAAGAGTGAAATAGTGTGTTCTGGCTGTTCACCAGGTCCCCAGTGTGTGTGTAACCTCAGACCACTAAAATGTGCAGCTTCTATCCTTCTAATCAGTGTGACAAAGAATTTGTCCATAATATGGTAAATAAATTGTAAAAGGGAGAACAGAAATTGCATGCTGTGGCATTGTGATCAATGCGCTAAAAAACCTGAGGCATTAAAACCACATTTGGAGAAGGTTTTAGAAGGCTTTGATGATGAAGAAATAAAATTTTCCTCGTGGATGAGTGATTACTGAATGATATAAAAAAACTATGCTTCTTTCTCTCCAAGAATTAATAGATTTTTTTAAACAAAAAATTTAAACTCTAATTCTTCATTCATTTATTACAAAATTTCAAAACTAATATGCAAAGTAGAAAAAGAAAAATTAGGCGTTAATGAAGTATTGGTCTTAATAAAATTTGCTGAAAACTAATATTTTATTTTGCGACATGAAGTTCAGTCATACACTGGAGCCATAATCGGAAAATTATTTTTTGTTTCTGATGACCTTAAAAATGAAGCACCGTTTGTCAACTCCATACCAGAAAAAAGCTACTGCTTGAAAAAGCTACCTTACCATCAGTTAAAAAAATCAAGCAATATTGTAGTCGGAAAGACAGTTTAACAACATTGAATCCATCAAAATTAAGGAAAACAAAAGGCCCAGTTAACACACAGCTTAAAGGTATGTTCTAGAACACTGGAGGATTAACTGCTGACAAATTTGCCAGAATGGAAGACGATTATTACAAAGGAGGATGCTGATATATATGGGATAGTAGAAGCCATCTACTGCAAATATCCAGTTCTACCAATCACCGGGATATCAAACTTATAAACTGCAGAGTTCCAGACAGGTTGTATCGGGAATAATTGTCGCTGCTAAATCTTCCCTCAAGGTAACTTTTTAATTAAAAAGGAAATGGAAGAGAATGATAAATTGGAGGCTGTACAGTTAGATGTATGGAAAAATAAAATCCCTAGACGGTTTTATGTAATGTACAAGCCATGAATAGACCAGACCTATCTTGGCTTGAAGCCAGGTGGGGATCCCAAGACTTTTTATATGGTGATATTAATAACCCACCCATATTAATCCCAATATCCTTCCAGAATTTATAAAAACATCTAAAGGAGTCTGCGAAGGCTGCTGTCCTGCGGTTTATGAACAAAATCTGGGAAAAAGGCTTGCCAAGTGCATGGATAAAGGCTGAAATAATCCCTATTCTTAAGAAAGGTAAGACTCCAAACAAACCAGAACACTGTAGATCAATCGCATAAACTAGCATGGTGATAAAATTGTTTGAACGACTACTATTGTCTAGACTTGAGAGTTTATTAGTAATTAAGCAAGCTATTTCTGACATATAAGCAGGATTTAGAAAACAAAGGAACACGATGGAGCACATGGCATACCTTTCACATGAAATAAAAAATGGTTTCCACAGAAAGCAAAGCACGGTAACGGTTTATTTATGTAGACATTAAAGCAACATTTGATAAAGTCAGGAGAGAAATAGAAATGCTGTTACTAAAGATTAGAAATATGGATGTGGCAGGAAATATGTTCGAATGCATTTATTCTTTCTTGACTCAGAGACATATCTGGGTAAAATATAATGGTGTAGTTTCACCTTATAAGTGGGTATAGAACCACTTCAAACAAGAAGAGAAGTGGCAGCTATCAGTCTTATAGAGAGAATGAAAAGACTTGGTTTGAAGTACTAGGCTGCTCAAGAAACATCTGCCCAGCGCCTCAAGACACAAAAACCACTAACAGTAAAAGTTAGGGAACTATTGGAAGGAAAAGAGACAGATCTAGGCACGAGTCTGCCGTTTAATAAATGCAATGACCAGCAAAAATTAGTTGCAAGGCACGGCTAGATCTAACGCAACTTGTAAATAAACACCTAACAGCTGAATGGGAATTGAAAGCAATTGCTCTGGAAACAATAAATAGCTGCTATTCTGAGGAGAATTAGCTCCACGTATATACTGACGGCACCGCTCAAACAGCTATTACTACGTGGAATGCAGGCGAAGGAATATACTGCCAAGATTTTGATATCCATTCCTGCTGGTAGCCGGAGGACAAATTTTGATGAAGAAGTCAAAGCTGATGAGCTTGCATGGATCCCCTTGGAAATGCCACAAATTAATCTTCCGCTGCCCTACAAATTTGCTAAAAGGATTTTAAAATCCTTTTACAAGGAAGAGAACAAGAATTGGCAAAAGCAACAGGCACCAGGAAAAAAAAAAAGGAAATCTTTAATAAAGGGGCCAAGGAAAGAATCGGTAGAATATCCCTGACAAGTTGTCTTACACAAGTGGGTCAGAAATGGTTTGGGTGGGATCAGTTTAGAGGTGAATAATGACCTTCATGAATTCTTGTGACAGAGACTTACTGGGCAAGGATACATATCTGACATCCTAGATTATATAGTGCCAATCGCATGTTATACTTATGACAATTTTATTTTTATGCAGGACAAGGCTCAACTACATTTCACAAATGGGGTCAGGAACTACATTAATGAGGTTGGTAAATGCATCCTACAGAAGCCAGCATGCAGTCCCAACTTTAATCCCATTGAACACCTATGGAACGAGCTAGGTAGATGTATTAGAAGGAGACCAAACCTTTCATTGGGCTTTGAACAGCTCAGAGCCATAATAATGGAAGAGTGGGACTATATCGAACAGCAATGAGTTTCCAATTTAATAAGCAGCATGCCAAGAATAAGAGGTTGTACAAGCAAGGAGAGGAATCACATGATATTAAAATTAACTATCTACACTACTAAAACATTTGAAGAAGAAAATTTTATTGTTTTCCATTTTTGTAAATAAAAATCTCTTTTTTTTCAATCCTTTTCCAGAAATTCTTCCTTGAATATGTACATTACTTGGCACACACAAACAAATCTTAGGATGAAAAAAAAATATAAGATAACACATGATTTTTTTTCTGATTATTATAAATAACTTTTAAAAAATAAGGTTACTGCATTAGGTTTAATTTGTAATCAAACTTTTCAAACTTATTAGCTCGTCAATATTATTTAATCATTTTATAGAGAATTACAAGCTATTATCCATACTATATGGTTATACCAAATTATTTTAACTAGATATTTTGTTATGTCAGTTTCACAACTTCTAAAAAATATTAATTTTTATGTTAATGAATTATTTTATCCGTGATGAAAAATTATAATGCTAATACTTACTATATACATATATACTTATAGTATCATCTGATTCTAGTTAAAATGTAGGACAAATAAATAAAGCTTTCAAAGCTTCAGTTCAATAAATATTGATTTCACATAGAAAATCCCAAACAAAAACAGGCTGGTTTTGATATCAAACTGCATTCCAGACTGCAAATACCTTCAAAGTTCAAATGATCATAATTCTGACAGTAATAAATAAAATTAGGTAAAATTTGGCAAGTTTTTATTTATTTAATATTTACTAATTATAACAACATTTTCATTAAAATCTATGAGGTGTGGATGACATTAAATTTTAGTTGGATGAATCGAAATGGAATGAGTTAATAGACTTGTGTGACATAAAACTACAAAAGAAAAATCATGAGAACTTCTCCAAAGACTGAATTTCTGTCACTGCATAAAAATATTAGGAAGAATATAATAAATTCCGCAGGAGAACAGACAAAATAACTTATATGACAACCAGGTCAGAAGCTTAAAAACTTTACAAAAAACATCTTCCAAACATAAGAATGATCGAAATAGCAAAAAATGGAATTTTTTAGCATATTTTTTGTTGAGAAACATACCATGTTTTCCTCGAAGAACATCTATGTAAGTAAATAAATTAGGATGTTCCAGCGTTTTCAAGAACTGCGCCCTCCCCAAAATTTTAATAGAGTTTGGAGTTAAGGGTAAACCATTACTACCACAAAGATCATGAGATCTTTGTTTAGCAACAAATGTCAAACATCCATAGTAGCGATTCAGTTGTTTATCTTCCATTCCCTAATATAACAACAGCCAAAAAATATATACATAACCGAAATGTCATCAGCTGATGATAAATTTATAAAATTAACTACGATAAGAACTAAAACACGCATAAACACAGATAATGTTATGAAGCTGGACCAAAACAAAACCTTTTCTTAAACCTTAAGGTTACCTCCCAAACATATCGACTATTGATGTTAATTTTATTTCCTATTTTATTTTTTCCTCTGGGAATTACAAAAAGTGACTTACTTATAGGGCATTGTTAAAGAAATCGTATGCTTTTATTTCGTAAAAAAATATTTTACGTAAAAACGCTGAAAATGAGATTACAATTTATCAATTCAAAACATTTTAAAATTTGAGTAAATAATATTTATTACATCGGTCAATAATCTGTAGATTGGTTCACCTCTGATTCATTAACTGTTCTTACCATTACCACATTAAATTTAATTTTGTTTTCCATTCTGTTATTATATCGTTTACATTTCAAAACATTTTTTTTTTTTAGCTTTAATTTTTTATTCACATCTGTCATAATGGTAATGACAACCAGTGAATGTGAGGTCGATTGCAAAATATAATGTCATGAAAGGCATGAGGAAGATCAGTGCCCAGCGGCACCTCACTCGGCATGATATCTACATTAGGCGAGGAAATCTCTCATCCAGCTTCTCTTCAGTCTCCTACAGACGTTACCTGGCATATTCGTAGTGGCCATGTCAAAATTTGTTATTAATTTTAAGATTCAAGTTCAGCATACTAAGAAATTTTCTTTCACCGCTTTTCACCATTATTTTTTTTTTTTTTTGTTTCTTAAAATTTATTAAAACTATTTTGTATCAATAGCGACATAGTACAATAGTATGAAAACGTTTCAGTTGTTTTACGAAAAGCAGGGTCTCCTTAAGTACTGACTAGAGAGATAGATAAGTAAAACTTGAAAGATGAAAAAAAAGTAAGTTGTAATGGAAAGTAAGTTGTCTGCTCTAGTGCTGTAGATATGTAGTCCGTTACTCTATGTAGTTGGTGTATAATTGAGTGATGTGCCCTAAATCCAAATTGATGGTCAGGTATTATTTGGGTGTTTGTTAGTATATCAACAAGTCTTTTGTTCAGTAAGCTTTCAAAAATTTTGGAACATATAGGTAGTAAGCTGATTGGCCGGTATGAGGAAGGTGAGTTTTTGTCCTTGTTAGGCTTGCCAATCATTATTATATGTGAGTAATTCCACTCTAGTGGAAATTTAGTTGTCCTCAGTATTGCATTATAAATAGTTGTCAAAAGCACTAGAGCTTTTCTAGGCATTTGTTGGAGCACTTCAGCGTTAATCAAGTCATGTCCAGGAGCTTTTCTTTTAGGCAACTTTTTGATTTGTTAAGCAATCTGGGAAGGTGTGAATGAAATAGGAGGAGAAGTTAGTTGTCAGTCCTCTTCAAGCACGCGTATATATATATATATATATATATATATATATATATATATATATATATATATATATATATATATAGTTATATATATATATATATACACGTTTATATATATATATATATATATATACACGTTTATATATATATATATATATATAAACGATTTTTTCTTTTCTTATTTTTTAAATTTTTATTTCTCTATTTTGTATTCAACATGCAATGCGATACTATCACATGCTAATGTCGAGCAAGGGCAAAATAAAATGTCTAGAAGACAACAGCGCTGTTCTTGCCGAGAGGAGTTGTAATCTCATGTTTTGTGGGTTGTAAAAGTATTTCAAAAATAATAAAGCCTAAAAAATGATCATGTAACTTCCAGTATTTTTTTTATTCAATACTGGGTATACGTAAAACGGTAGCTAATATAATGACTCTGACAGAAAATTCGAGTTTCTCACACTATTAGTCAAGAGAAACAGTTTTCATTGAAGATACGCGTAAATATATTTTTTTTTTTGGGCAGTTAGAGAGGTTCTACTCGGGCTTCTGCAATCGGTAAATTTTTTTCAAAAATTTCTTCCTCTTTACTTAAGAGATTCTCTGTTTGATTATTAAATGTACAATTAATTCCCTCTAGCTCTTCTATAGTAGTTCTTTCCTCTTCTTTTTCTATTTCATTCTTAAAAGAAGTCACTGGTTCTTTAATTTATCTATCTTTAGGTACCGTATCGGATACTAGGTCTTTCAAGCTCTTCACTCTTATTTTTCTTTTCTTCTTCATCAGGTGGAGTTTTCTGGAAGACTTCATCCAGCATTACTTCTACCACTTTTTCTGAATTCCTAGTCTATTCGTTTATTTTGGCTTCAAGTTTTCTGATCCCCATTTTTATTTCAAGCCAATATTCTCGCCTTTCTTCAATGTATTCTTGTCTTTCTTTTCTTATTTTTTCTACCTCTCTCTCGATATGCCTTCTTCCTGTGATTAAAAATGTCGTAGAGAGCCTCATACTAACCAGCCTGCGACCAGTTTTAATAAGAGCAAGTCATCCACGGCAATTCGGGCCCACTAAGGTTAAGGGAGCCGCAGATGCTCTTCTGCAAGTGCGAAGAGATGTTTAAAAAGAGAGAAGAAAAAAAGAGAGCGGTATGTCATGATGTTACTGTTAGACATATCATCCGCTTTCGACATCGGCTGGTGACCACGCGTCCTACAGTATTTATGGAGATATGATACTCCCAGCAACCTATATGCTCTTCTGAGAAGCTACGAGATTGAGAGAACGTCCAGAGAAGATGCCCACATCATCTGTTCTTCGTCTTGCTCTGTGAAATTTAGTTTTCGGTGAGCTTTTGGGGGTATTAGAAGAGCAGCGGTTCCCAGTAACGGCGTATGTTGACAACTTGGCCTCTATGGTGGCATCCGATAGCAAAGCAGGGGTCATACTGGAGGCAGAAAGATGGTCCAACTAGATAACTGGTGTGCGAGTAGGAGAATGAGGATGGTTGCTGCCAAAAACTGAGAAGGAACATCCAATCGCCTTGGAGATGCAAGTCCAAGTGAGGTGGTAACCTACCTCGGCGTAAGAATTGGAAGAAAATTTAACGCCTAGGACTACTTGGCAAACTGAGTGACAATCACCCTAAATAGTCTCAGTCGTCTTGGAGCTTTCTGGGGCCTTAGATACCCAGCGTCCAAGGCTATCTACAAGGGAGTGGTGCTGGGTATATTAAGGTAAGCATCCTCCTGATACCTAAACCTTCCCAACCGATAGAAGAGCAAGTTAGCATCTATCCAGAGGATGGTTCTTCAGCTGGTCACCAGAATCACGAGGCAGTGCAGATCTTTGCAGAGGAGATACCTCTCGATCTCCTCCTGCTAGAAGACTTGATCAAATATGCCTATAAGGGAGAAGGCTTGGCAGAGATTCCGGAGGACCTTCAAGTGAGGATTGAGGAACGGCCCAATGGATGGAAATCAACGTTGAGAGAACCTACCGTCGGAACAGGCGGTGGATCACTACCACTATGGGGGCTAACCTAAGAAGTATTTTCCCACCGTACAGTCTCGACTAGCAGCCAGATGGATCAAACCACATTATTGGGCCTCTCAATTCCTCTCTGTACATGGGGGTTTCGTGCCAAGTTAGTCAGTCTTAGACAAGACATTGATCCCCTATGCTCCAGTTGTGGTATCCCTGAAACTGCCGAGCATGTGATCACCTACTGCACTGCGCTTGAAGCACTGAGGGCCTAGCTAATGAGGATCACAAATATCTAGTATCTACAGTATCAACTAAGGAGATTTGCCTTTACTCGTCGCTACAGATAACTACCCGAACTACAAGGCATTCATGTATGGATGGAAGGAACGAATAGGTGCAGGCCATTTCAATATAGCAGTAAAACGAAGATTTCCACAGTCTCAGTCTGGGGTGACTCCAGGATAGAAGTATAACAAGAAAAGAGGAATATAAATAGAAAAGAGTTAATTTGTTGTATACAATAAAACGGAATCACGTATTGCCGAAAAGACAAGGAAGGGTGTGGGGGAAAAAAGAAAAGAAAAGCATTATAAGGGAACAGAATTGTAGCATTCTACTAGAATTGAGAACTCCCTATAAGGTAGTTTGTTTGGTAAAGATGACCACGAAGAAGGTGAAGTGTGCTGTCTAGGGATAGGTGGAATTTTTAAGGATTTTGAAACGTAAAACGACCTTAGGCGAGGTGACAGCCTTGCCTGTTTATTGTGTAATATGGCACTGAAATGTGATGTTAGATGCTCAGGTGTAAGCTCAGATTCAAGGCCCTTATTTAACAAGGTGGCTCAAATCCTTGACTTCCCGAATAACTCATACATAACGGGAAGAAGCTTGGCATCTATAAAGGAGTGCTGTGTTCCTGCACATCGCGTTTCTACGGTGTGTGGGGGTGCCAGGAACCGCATTTATTTCTATTGAATGTATTTAATATTTCTATTTCTATCTGCTCCAGAAGGGAACCGATCTACTTAAAAATATATAAATTGTGTGTTTAAGGATTAGATACCACAGACCCTCTACTGTAGTATCCTATATTGAATAGTATAATTTGATTGGATCTTGGATATTTTTTCAAAAAATGTCATATTTAAAAATTTAAGGCTGTCACCTCGCCTGTTTATTGTGTAATATGGCACTGAAATGTGATGTTAGATGCTCAGGTGTAAGCTCAGATTCAAGGCCCTTATTTAACAAGGTGGCTCAAATCCTTGACTTCCCGAATAACTCAGACGTAACGGGAAGAAGCTTGGCATCTATGAAGGAGTGCTGTGTTCCTGCACATCGCGTTACTACGGTGTGTGGGGGTGCCAGGAACCGCATTTATTTCTATTGAATGTATTTAATATTTCTATTTCTATCTGCTCCAGAAGGGAACTGATCTACTTAAAAATATATAAATTGTGTGTTTAAGGATTAGATACCACAGACCCTCTACTGTAGTATCCTATATTGAATAGTATAATAGTACAGCTGCAATAAATGTCAGGTTATCTTTCACGGTAAATGCTGCAAACTGGGTGATAAAGAGATCAAGACATTAAAATCTCAAAAAAAGGTATGGCTTTGTAAAAAATGTGACCAAGGCAAAAAGACATACCGAATTAGAGAAAAATCAGCCAGTCCACCAAGAAGTGAAATCAAGGAGCCGTCCGCAGCTGATATTCTCGGAGCGGTTAATCGACTTAGCGCCCAAG